TCCTCCTCCTTTTTGCATGCCTTTAGTAGGTGCTGCTTTATGCCTCACTTGAATATTAACAGGTCAATCAGCTAATTAAAGTAAACCCTGTTACTTGATTGTTCAACTTTTCATTGTTGTTTTTAGTCTGATGTGGACATACATTGTTCAATTTATTTTCAAGTAATGGAATAACATTTGTAAATTTAAAACACTATTTATTCTGGAGAAGAAAAAAATAACGTTTCAGTTTAATTGTTGAATTACACATTACCATTTAAAAGTGTACCAACTTCTCTGGAAAGAGGGTTTGCCCGCATCACAGCGCACAGCGCAGCTTTTCACAGATACAGCCATACACAGGTCCCAGTGGCACCAATATAATTAAGACCCTTTCTTAATTACTTAATAAGCCTAATTAGCAACATTTCCTAGCAGCAGATTTGGCTGCAAGAGCGATGGAAATCAGACCAATGTTAAGTCTATTCGCTACTTGAAATAAGAATGCTAATGAAATTACTGCATCATGATATGATGGAAACAAACCACTCTGGGATTGACCATAGGGTTAATGCTGCTCTCTGTGCTCTTGATAAACATTCAATTAAGTCGTACAAAAAGAGTTCAAAAAATCATAGAAAACATAGGTAAATATAATGTTGTTGCGTCGCCCGTGTTGTCAAGCGTTCATTGTGTTCTTTCTTTGTTCATTTTGAATCAATCCAGGGCAACGTGTGATAGAGAAAAGCGTGAAACAGAGCAGGGGTCTGCTATGTTGTCATCTCAGGGAGCTAACTGAGGGGAGCCCACCAATCACACGGTGGAGCTGCTGCTGCTGCTGCATTCTTGGCCACTTAATTAGAAGTTGTTGATACCACAGAAGGTGTCACCAACCTTTTCAGGCACTGAACAGATGGTGTCCCCTCTTTTTGAGGTCCTGCCAGTGCCCACTCTGTGGCTCCTGGGAAAATGACCTAACTCACAGGCAGCTGCTTAGTGCGGCTTGAGTGATTCTTTACAGCCACTTCTACTGCGGGGGAGACTTAGCAGGACATACCATTGCAAACAAGGGGTGAGGTCACCATAGTCAGCTCCCCTCATAGCTTCAAAACTATTTTATCCTTGCAGCATCTCAGCTGTTCTAGCTGTATTTTTTTTATTATTATTGGCAAAGAAAGTACAGAGATCTTGATTTTTGTTTTAGTCAGCGTTTAGTCAGTCGAGTTTGTGTGGACTTTTCTCTGCTGCTGGCAGATGGTGTGAATATCAACAGAGAAAGGACTGGGGACGGCCTGCAGAACAAAAAGCGAAAGGGTTCCTCAACAGTAACAAAGAGGCCCCACGGATAGGTGGGGGATCTGGGTGGGGGTGGCCTTCATCCTAATGGATAAGGAGAAGGAGGGAGTGAGAGTTTGCGATTGCGTTTGCCGTTGAGGAGTGGATGGAGAAAATGCGAAGGCCGCACATTCGATATGTGTGAAGGCGGGGGGTCGGGGATTTAACATGCTTCGTGCTGCGTGGACAGAAGATGTGCTGTCACTCTGCATTCGGCTTGGCTCAACCTCCCTCCAACCACGCAGGAGGTGGAGAAAGAACAAGTTGAAAATTGGATGGCTGCGGTTTCTGACTAATTACTTGATGTGCATTACATTGTGTGGGTTCAGTCTTTAAGGCATTTTAATCTCACACTTCCAAACAGAATTATTATCCCAACAAAGATATTGGTTTTTTTCTAAATTATTTTATAAATAAAATAGTAAAGTTTCAGACCAGAGTTTCTCAACATTCTAGTTAAGGACTTAACATTAGTAATTATACAGACTTGAACAACATTTCACAAACCAAAACAAATGAGGTCAAAATGATGAACTCCCTTGGGAATTGCCATTTGTTAGTAGCCATGACACAAAGCAGTGATGTGTGTTAACATAGCACTGGTCAAAACCTTTGAACTAGTAGCTTTGTATAGAAATCTATATAAGAGTTTGGGCTCTCATCTGCTAAATTATTAATAAAGGTGCTCTGAAAATATAACTTTTTTAAATGTTTTGATAACTAGAGCGACAATTACAACAAAGTAAAAAAGTTTGAAGAGATCTATACATACAGGAACAAACAGACAAAAACAAAACTGCTGTCACACAAACAAAGGCAGTATATCTATGATCTGAAGAGAGTCTGAAGAGAGTGGAAAAAACACTGAAAACTCAGATTAAATTCTGCTAAGAACAAATCAAATAATCAAAAGTTTAGTCAAATTTAAAGTATATTAATTAATTGGTTAAAACAAAAACTATTTTGTGTCTATGTGTTTAAGTAAAAGGGGAGAGCATTATTCCAAAGAAGACAATTTAATTAAATTAAAAAAAACGTTATTAGGAATTAATAAAGAATATGAGAAGATAAGAAAAGAGAGGCAACATTAAATGTTATCACCTTTAAAAGGACAATATTAAAAAGTGAAACTTTGTCCCCAATTTTACATGTGTTTTCTTGGTGCAATTCCAAAGAGTCATCAGAAAGTCAAGCACAATATCTTTAATTGAACAAAATTATTATCAGCCCTCGCAGCAGTGACTCATGTTCTGGAGACGTTTCCATTTTGAGGAAACTCTTCTTCGATGTAGTAATGCACTCCTAATCCATGTACAACCTCTGATGCGATAGGCAGCTGAAAAGCAGTAGTAAAAAGCACTTCAGCTGGGGACATGAAATCGGTCGTCTTCATCATGTTGTGTCGGGGCTAAACCTGTTTCCTGCAGCTTTCTCTATCAGATATATGTCCGACTGGCTGTACGGCCGTGGAGCTCAGGCTGCTGCGATCGATCTGCAGCAGCTATGGCATTTAATAGGTGCACAAGCTCTCACTCAGGAATTGAACTACCGCCGCTCCAACTTCTCTCTACTTTCACAGTTCCCTGAAATGACCTTGAACTTGAGAAGCACACCCAAACCCTACACCCCTGTCTGCCTAATGCTATTATGGCCTGGCCCTACATGCTAAAAGTCATTGGTGGTGATAGTGGCTGATTAGATTGTGTCCATTGATCGTGCAGCGTGCTGTTAGGACGGGGGTGGTGTGGGCTGCAGCTCCTGCCTCTCTTCCTCACGCACACTGACAGTCTGAGACTGAGGAGATGGAGCCCCATGCAGGGCAGCAGATTGAGTTATTGATCAGCCTTCTTCTATTCTCCTGTCCCTGTCTCTCACTCTGCTGCTGCTGCAAGAGAAAGACCCAAACCTCTTCACCAGGATAATGAATTTCACTTATTGCAAATTAACGGCACAAGGTTTGTATGGTAATAATGGCCGAAATTAGCTATTTCTCACCCCCTCCGGAGTCCCAAATGGAATAAGGATGGAGGTTGTTACAGCCATGCTACGGAGTCTGAGATGATGTCTGGAACAGGGGGGAACTAAAAGGAAAAACATGTAGGACCAAAGCAATTGAAGAGAAAATTAAAGAAGGAAGACATTTCAGCAGCGGGCACAAATCTGAGGTTTGAGGAAGGAAAGATAAAATGTCAGTGTAAAGATGAAAAGTGTTAATAGTGGGCCACTCCAGTGAAGAGCGAGGGCAAAGAGGAAGGATGAGAGCTGCTGGTTTGGAGGATACATACAGAGATTGTGAAGCAGAGGAAGAGGAAAG